TTGACTGGAATGGAAAGAAGAGAATGTCCATAAGATTCAAGAGTGGAATTAGAAGAAAAGTTCTTTGCAAACAGTTCTGCCTTATCCCTGGGAGAGGTAACAAGATCAGTCCCATGAATGAGAGATGGAATGTTAGATCTACCCTTGTTAACAATGCTGTTGAAGATTTTCCAAAAGTCTTTAGAGCCTAACTTCTGCGATAAGATGCGAGATTTAGTGAACTGAGAATAATGGAGTTTAGCATCAGAAAGCACCTTTCTACATCGATTTCTTGCAATAATAAATAGCCGTTTGTTCTCAAGAGAGTTGTTCTTTTGAAAAAGATGAAAAAAATGATTACGATTGGATATAGCAGCCGCACAAGAAGGAGAAAACCATGGAGTAGAATGAGGCTTGACTTGAAACCGACGAGAAGGAATAAAAGCTTCTATTCCAGCCTGAATACAGGAGGTTACGTAGGAGGCGCATTTGTCAGCTGAGAGAGAAAAAACATCAGCCCAAGGACCATCACGAAGAAAATCACGAAAGGAATCCCAGTCAGCTTTAGGGTAGTAGTAGGTGGTGCGATGATAAGGTGAGCCCAAAAAAGAAGTACGAGAAGAAAGATTTATAGAGATCATTGCATGGTCAGAACCACCTAAGGGAGAAAAGGGAGAAACTGAACATAAGCTAGGGTCAGAGACAAGACATAAGTCAAGGAGTGAAGGTAAATGATTAGGGTTGTCAGGAAAACGAGTCACAAAGTTAACTATCTGAGTAAGAGATTGAGAAACGCAGAAGTTAAAGGCTTTAGTGCCAGCAGGATCAGTGGTGTTAGAGCCAAGCCATTCAGTGTGATGGGCATTAAAATCACCAACAACAACAATATTGGCAAAGGGCTAAAGAGAGAGGACATAGTCAATTTGATCAGAGATAACATCTAAAAGAGTGCAATCATGGGAAGAAGGAGAATGATAAAGAACAAAGAGAAAGGTGATAGAGTGAAGAGGTGCTAGGCGAAAGCACATACAAGAATGGTCAAAGGATTCGAACCTGATTTCTCAACAAATAGGGGAATTAATGTGTATGTATACCCCTAAACCTAGCATGTGACTATTGGAGTCTTTACGAATCAAAGGATAGTACCCATCAACACTGACATCTGAAGAAGGAATTGCAGAACTTAAATTTGTTTCACTGAGTGCAAGCAAGTCTGGTGAATTTTGCAGGAGGTAAGACTCAACTGATGGATTTTTGTAAACAAATAATGTTAGTTTAAAACATATATAGCTTTGTAGATGTGGCTCCGAGAATTAAAATAATAGTTCGATTAATAGTATATTCTTAAAATAATTTATGCTAGAAATCTCAACGAAAACATAACAAAACTCAAATAATACAATTTTTTATATATTTCAACAGAATACTCTAGAAATTTCGGTTAATAATTTTTGAACCAATAGAATTAGTTGTTTTGTTCGTAGATTTGGCAGGTTTTTGTGTTTTTTTTATTTTATTGCAAAGATGTTTGAGAACATTTGAGTTTATGGATGTTTCCATGTATGTCCGTAAACAAAATATTTCAAAATTTACGATAAAACAATGTTTTATCGTAAGTTTTGATAAAACAATGTTTTATTAAAACTTAATTAAACGTTCTCAAAACGACTAAAATATCTGGCCGGTTTTTTGCAACTAAATATTATTTCCGTGGTCAGTTATCGAGTGCGATTGCACCCACTTCCTGACCAAGCCTGTGTACCAATAACTGATTCGTTCCTACAAGAAAAAAAGTTTTAAGTTCTTAGAAATTGGTTTACTAACTTCAATTATTTTTGCTTCAGCCATTCTTACAAACTCATTACACTTAAACTTAAAGTTACTTTTTTCTGTTTTAAATACTAATTAAAATTATAAAGCCCACTCACTAAACATCATCAGCGGTATTGTGAAGCAGTTCCGCTTCCTCCTCACAAAGTAATTTAAAGTTTTTAGTTAATTTCTAGCTAATCGAATTTCTACAGTAACTCGATGATTTAATTAATTCATTCGTTCATTTTACTAAGAAGAATTGTTTCAAATGTGTTAAACTTTTCAAATTACGTGAAGCATAAAATAATTATTAAAAAAACTTTTTTATTCATAAAAAAATGATATAGCGTTAGTTTTATTGGTTGAATCTTGTTGGATTTTTTAGACTATCTGTGAATTTGTTTTAAATATGTTAATAATTTAATTAGGGATAATTTAGGGCCCTGCGAATCAGCATTTTTAGTTTTTAATCGAATTTCAAATCGAAGCAGCACTTGATTCGCAAATCCAATTGCAAATCAAATCACTAGTTTAAGAAAATCTGAAGTTTTTTTCATCTCTATATTCTTACGATATTCTTACGATATACAATTACACAATTAGAATGTTATTTGAATAAGCTCTTTTTGTTACTTTTAACCTAAATTAACCATTCCATGTTTTGCCTCAGAAAGACAATTGCGTTTATTTTTGATTACTCCTCCTCCCACAGAGTTAACTTTCTCTGATAAACAATTTGTAGCTAGTACAGCAAAAAGATCAAGTGCTACTTTAGATAATAAAGAGAAAAGGTTATGTTTGTTCTTCCAGTAAGAATAGGACAATCTGAACGTCACAATGTTTTCTCTATGGTGTAGATAATAATTTCAAATTTTAGTTGCTGATCTAAAATTCTTCTCTCTGGTAGGGTACAATTTTTAGAAACATGTTCAAACATTTTATCTAAAATTTCATTGTTTCAGATGAGAACTTTGCCAAGAAATCTCTGCCAAGGTAAATAATAATAATTTAATTGAAGGTCTAAGAAAGCAGCCATAAGAGAAGCGTCTTCTTAATTCAAACTTGATTTCCAACTGCATAACAAGATCATTAACAAATTTATTTATCCCTCTTTTATCCATTGACCAAAGGAGATTTTTCAAAGTTTTAATGTACTGATAAACTAAACTAATGCTCGCGCTTTTTTCTGCACTTAGAGAAGTTGTGGCTTCAGATACTGGATTTTAAATAGTAGAGTATAATAGAGTCACAATTGTTAATAATTGTGTTTAAGTTAGACAAGTCAGTGGCACTTTCTACTTTTTTTTTTTTACGTTTTTTTTTCTGTGTGCGCTCAACTAGAGTAAGTTCTATAGAAGATTTTGTTTAATCCCAATCCCAATAAGTTAAAAGTGCTGTTAAAGCGTGTTTCCACATCCATTAAAGGCTTTGGCTCATATTTCCTTGAGAAATCTGATACTTTTTGAGAGCTGTTCGACCGATGAAGAGTGAAAAAATTCTGCTATTTTATAAGCTTTGCTAATTAATGTCACAAGTATTGGTTGGTTGTGGATAGCTGATTTCATGCAAAGTTGGAGTTTATGAGCACAGCAGCCTAGCTAAACAACTCCAAAAAGTTTAAGTATGTACTGCATAGTAGGAGTCATGTCAGTTGTAGCTTGTAAAATATTATCTAAAACAAAATTTTTTTTATAAATTCTTATGTTGAAATAGCTTTGTGACAAGCGTTCATTATTTCCAGATTAACTACTGATAAACAGCATGATTCTAAAACCCATGAGGATAAAATATAATGACATGTAGAAACAAAAAACTTATTGTCATTGTTGGCCTTAAAGTGATCAAAAGTGCTAGGTTTGGAGATAAAATAGCTTACAACTTTTTTTGTTTTTTTGTAATTCTCCTCCCCAAGGCTGAGAAAGCCACTACAGATAAGGAGGCTACTTGTGGTTATAACTCTTTCTCAACTCTATAACTCCGAAACATAAACCTTGACAAACAAGGCCGCTGCGGGGAGAAACAAGTTAAGCGCTGTACTACCAGGGACGTGGTGGGAATCAAACTCGGAGCCTCTCGCTTATGAAGGGAGAGCTCTACCACTACACCACTACCGCATAAAGTATAAAACTGTTGTTGTTTTATATTTTATGCTAATATATTGATCATTGACCATATCACCAAAATTTTAAGATAAATTAGTGGTGGATGGTAATGCCCTTGAGTATACATTAAGCACAAATTGATGAAGTGAGATTCAAAAGCTGTCTCAAATGATCTCCCAACTTCAATTATAAATCTAAGCACTGCACTATCATACTTTTCTTTTAATAATTGTATCTATTCGAGGTCTAATAAAACTGTATCTATTCGAGGTTAAATAAAATTGTATCTATACGAGGTCCAATAAAATTGTATCTATTCAAGGTCCAATAAAATGTGCGTTTAATGAGACATGATTTTTTGATAATGTTTTTGAAATTTTTTTTTTTAATAATGCAATTTTTTTTAAGTAAAGACTTTAGGCAGTAATAATAAAAAAATTATTTATAGTTTAACAAATTTTATTCAAAAACAATGTAATCAAATTTTATAAAGTTCTTTACAAACAAAGTTTGTTATAAAATAACACAAATGTTTAGTTTATAAATAATAATTAAACTACAAATAATAATTAAAAAGGAATAAAAGTAAATTTTTTTATAACATGAAAACAAACAACAATAAATGACAGAAATTGTTCGAAAACTCAAATCTATTTTTTCGAATTGAATTTCAAATCGAAGCAGCAATTGATTTGCAGGGCCCTAGGTTATTTACAATCGATATATATTTTTTGTTTGACATTTTCCAACTGTTGCAAATTGTAAGCAGCTGTGGTGAAGTGTTTAGAGTTCTGGCTTCAGAACTAGAGGTCTGTGGTTTAAAACGTATTTAATCAATATATCTGAAATAAAAATTAATAATACAATTTTTTTTTAAGTAAAGACTTTAAGCAGTAACAATAAAAAAATTATTTATAGTTTAACAAATTTTATTCAAAAACAATGAAATCAAATTTTATAAAGTTCTTTATAACAAAGTTTATTATAAAATAATACAAATGTTGAGTTTATAAATTTGCTACAAATAATAATTAAAAAGGGATAAAAGTAAATTTTTTTATAACATGAGACTGAAATATTTTTTAAAATTTTCAAAAATTTAAACAGGTTTCTAAGTGGACCCTTGGTGGTTTTGTTGGCATCATATGTTTTTGAATCATACATGAGGTTATTTTTTATTGTATAAATATATTTTTTATGATTATGTTAAGTTAAAAAATTTAAATTATGTATATTATGGCTGTGCACAATGCTAAATTTTTTAAGAACATAACTAAATTGAAAGTATTTCCATTCTTCTATTATACTGTTTAAAAGTGTGTGCATGTGTGTGTGAGTTTGTGTGTTACCTATACTTAGGTATTGTAACTTTACTTGTAATTTGGATCTCTGTGATAACATATGCAAAATATTTTTTTCTTACACAACCCTGATGTTTCTCTCAATACAGCTGAAATTTGTTGCATACTTCTAATTGATAGAACATAGTTCACTCAAAGTATGTTTCAGGATAAGAAATATTTTTATACAATTATACCTTTATAAAACTTTATAAAGAACTGTTACATTAACTTTCCAGAATTTTCTAGAAATTTCTAGAATGCTCTGGAATTTTTCAGAACGTTGTAGAAATCTCCAGAATGTATTGGTACCTTCCAGAACCATCCACTTTCTGGAATCATTTAGAAATTTGTGAAAATTTCTAGAACTTTCTAGTGGTTTCTGCAATCTTCTTGAACCTTCTGAAATCTGTATATAAAGATTATTTTTGCATACTTTCAAGGGAAGTGCCCAAAGTGCCGAGACAAGTTGTTTTCATATTAAAGAGAATGATAAAATAAATTGTTTGGGCTGAATTTTTTTGAGCAAAACAAAATAATAATCATATACCAAGAAAAACAAATTTGTTGTTTTACTCAAAGTTCGCCATCTCCATGTTATTTAGTTCCTTTAAGTCTTTAAAATACACGCTTCAATTTTATAATATTCAGATTTTATAATTTATTCAAGTGCGTTTAATTTTAAAGAGTTCTTGTATATGATGTCATTGAAGGATTTTTTATTTAATCGAATTTTATTTTTCAATCAATTATTTGTTTTTGTTTTATTTGTTTTTTAAAATAAGCATTTATCATCAATTGTATGACTTTCATTTAAATTTTATAATGAGCCAAACAAAAGAATATTTTTTTATAAAACTTGCGCTTTTAACCAAATAAAATCAAGAATTTTATGATACACTCTTAAACATAATAAATATATAAAAAAGACGTTGATATCCTTGTAATATATTCTGACTTTTTTCTTTTCATCTAAATATTGTGAACTTTTTTCTAGTTTATCTAAACCGTTTTTTGCTATAACAATTTTGTTCTCCGATTGAAATGACAATTTACAAATTCTTAAATTTTTAATTGATAAATAGTTTTTGGTTAACCACATCATTTATTAGAGATATTTGTTGAAATCTTTATTTTTTAATTAGAAAATATTTATAGAAATTACACTTAACATATTTACAGACAGCTTTTTTATTAATTAAAGGAATAATTAATGTTTTATGGCAATAACAGATGGCAATTAAAATTGTTATTGTGTTGCTGGGTGCGTTAAAAAACATATTTGATATTTCCAAAATTTATATTGTATTTGGTAAGTATTTTACATTAAAACCGGTCTATTAACATTACAACTCAAAAAACTACCAAAATTGACAATAAAAAGTTTTTTATTGGTTTCAATTTTAAAATAGATTTGATAATGCTACACTTTTTTGCAATCTTTAACAATAATTGTTAAGTTTTAAAAATAAACTAAGCAATACATGTTTTACAGAATAAATTTTATTAAATATTTTCTTGCATGATTAAATAAGAATTTCAAAAATACTTGAACCCAATGAAAAGTTTAGCAAATAAATCCTGTTAATTAAACTTTCTTAAGGCTCACTCTTTCTCTACCAGCTGTTTTAACAAAAATCTTTTTGCTGCGACTGCACATTTTTTTTGAATAAATTTGAATGACATAACATTGACAACCAATTAAAATTTGAATAGTAAATCTTTTTAAAAGTGTAACAAACTATATATCAATAGAAAGCTAAACAAATGAACTTTTTTATTAAATAAGTTTTTAACACGCATCATTGAACAATAAGAAATGCAAAGTGCTGAAACCATTGTTATTATAAATAGTTACTAAAACAGTCCAAAATAAAAACTCATTTAATGTATAAAAAAAAATGTTTTTCTTCAAAAGAATTTTGTAATTACTTAGCTAAATACTTATACACTTCTACAAGTTAAATTTTACAGTGTTAACGCTGCTTTATTTTAGAACTAAATTTAAAGAAGTTTTTTTTTTATCAAGGATTACTCAAGATTTTTTAACTTTGTCAAGTGATAACTTTTATAATTACACAAAATGGCTCTTTTTTGTTCTTGTTTATGTAGGGAATTAATTATACCTTAAGAACAAACAAATACGGTACCGTTTGGCTTTCGTCATGTAAATATTAAATAAGTTAAAACTAAGGATTCTGGGATTAAAATTCGGACATGCAACTCAAAAATGTATAACAACAACAATACAAGTTATTTAGTTTTAATACAAACTCTCAATGACTTTTTGAATTCTTGTTTAGTGTTTGTAAATTTTGAAGAGCTGGTTACAATGAAAGTTTTCATTTTGATCATTTAGTTTAAATTTGACATTTTAAAGTCTGATTACTGCAAGTTTTTAGTTTTATCAGTGGATTGTTTTTTTTGGCAATAAGTGAAATTTAATAAACAAATCAATTTAATGACACTCATTCTAATACACTCAGGGTGGTCATACCCTCAGTGTATTAAAATTTGTACTCCTTCTTTGTATAATGCACTTTAGAGTAAACGCTTAAACAAAAAAAAATTTGACAAGGTCAGAAAAATATTAACCAGCTCTCTAAACATTGACTGTTAAAATGATATTTTTAAAATAAAAAAATTTAAAATATTTTTAGTTAGAAAGTATATAAATTTCATTTGTATAAAGATCTAATTTTTCTTCTCAAACTGTAACCAATGAATTGATTCTTAAATCTTTGTAACCAATGAATTGATTCTTAAATCTTTGTAACCAATGAATTGATTCTTAAATCTTTGTAACCAATGTATTGATTCTTAAATCTTTGTAACCAATGAATTGGTTCTTAAATCTTTGTAACCAATGAATTGATTCTTAAATCTTTGTAACCAATGAATTGATTCTTAAATCTTTGTAACCAATGAATTGGTTCTTAAATCTTTGTAACCAATGAATTGATTCTTAAATCTTTGTAACCAATGAATTGGTTCTTAAATCTTTGTAACCAATGAATTGATTCTTAAATCTGATTAATGATCTCACCATCTTTAGAAATCAAACGGGTTAAGAAGTTGGGGAGAAAGCATTGCAAATTATTAAAAGACATACATTGTATCTCACCGGTAAAGTAATCCCACAATCTTCTCAAACACTATCAAAGACAAAGTCAAACATTGTTCATAGTAAAATAAAAACAATAATTAACTATAAACACTTTAAATGACACACCAGATAGGGATTCCAATTATCGCAAGTTATTCAAATATTCTTACAATAAGATGGTAAAGAATGATAATGGATTTTGCAGCTGGTGGAAGAGCATTAGAATTTAAGCCCTGATTTCAAGAAAAAAATATTTTTTGAACAATAAATTCTTTAAAAAACAATACTCTTTAGAATTAAAACATTACACGATGAATAGATTTAAAATGTGAAGATGATACAATTTGTTAATTATCATAGAAAATATAAAAAGTATATAATTATATACATAATTACTTTTTACATACAGTTGTATGTAAAAAGTAATTTTTACAATGTAAAATTTTTACCTGAAAATGTTTAGGTTACAGTTCTTTACAAAGTAATGTTTGTGCCAAATCATTTTATTTCTTTTAATGAAACAATACAATTTAGAGTGAATTATGCGCCATTGCTTAGAGGCCTGGAATATTTTAGCTGCCTTAAGTGAGATGCTATGAGTGTGAAAAAAATATATGTATTTCAAAAGTTATCAGAAAGATATAATCTTTCAGAAAGCTTCAATATTAAGGTATAGGAGCACATTCACTTTTCTTTTGAAATACCTTTATATATGTATGTATATATTAATTTATTTATTTAGAGCACAAGTAATGAATGCTGTTGACAGAACCATTGCATTTATGGCTTCAGTTTTTTTTTTAGTAAATACTTTTTTTATTTAATTATTTGAGGTTCTATTTTTAGTTTTAATTGATCAATGTGTTTTGTACCCCAAAACACATTTTTTGGTGCGGTATGATCACCCAAAAAATCAGATAAAAAATTTTCCTATATTGAAGCATCACAAATATTTATATGTTGAAAGAGATGGAACTTTGGAGGAATTAATTATCTGTTTGTCCGATTTATTTTCCAAAAAGCAAAGAGCGATGGCATTTTTGAATGCTTGCATCTTTTTCTTAGGTTTTCCTTCAACTTTGCTCATACCAATTTGATAAACATTTTTCAGTTCTGAGTTCTCCATTCACTGAATTGACTGTTTTTTCATAATTGAAACAGGTGCCTCCAAAACTCTTAAAATTAAAACTATCATTATCTAAAAAAAAAATTATACAAAAAAAAATTATTAAAAAACAAATAGTGACTTACGCAAGTTTCAAAACAACATTGAACTAAAAATAATAAAGAATAACTTACAAACAACCTTAAAAGATATTTAATGAGTTTGAGAAACTTTAGTTTATTTAGTTTAGTCAGCAATTTAATTAAATTTAGTCAAGTAAGTCAGCAATTTAGTCAGCTTTATCATTTGAATAAGAATATCTCTCAAAAATATTCTGACAAATTCAAGATTGTGTTTCTTTTAGTTTCACTTTCTATAGTACAAATTGAACTATATATAATATTTTTTTATTTCTGCTTTAATATTAGTTGCATAAATGTATACAACTATAATTGCAAACATTAGTTACATAAATGCTCTATATATTTAGAAATACGTAATTTTTTTGCATGATATCATTTACAACCTCTATAGAGTTAAGAAAACTTCTTCAAAATAAAGAATTGAGTATTAAGATTTCGTTGAAACTGCTAAAATAATTTTTTTGGGTTTTTTATTTATTTTTGTTTGTTTAAAGTTAATAATTAACAGTAGCGTTAAAAATATCTTAGAACATCACCTTGTGTAGACAACATGCTATAATCTGCTGTTCTTATTCTAAATGCAAGCGTATAAATGTGTTGGTATCACCATTTTTCCTTTTTTTTTTTTTTTTTCAGATTAAAAAAGTTTTGAATATTAAAATTTCGAATCTCCAGAGTTCAAGACTATTTAATTTATTTTTTAATCTTTTTGGAAATGTGTTTTTTTACAACACAGAATGGGAAATAAAGTAGCAAAGCTGTAGTTTTTCTAACCCCCTGTAAAACTGATGGGTATTATCAGTATTAGTTGAAGCATGTTTTAGTATAAAGTTGTTAACTGAATTATTTAGGGGTTGCTGTTGTAAGTTTACATTGTTTTAGTTAGGATGTATATTAACTTAATTAACTTTTTCTAGTTTTATATTTGATGATGTTATGTAACAACTAAATAAAGTTTACTAAATAAAGTTTTAGTTGTTTAGAATGATGATGTTTAGGATGATAGTTGTTTAGAATGATGATGTTTAGGATGATGATGTTATGTAATAATAAGTACATTTAGTTTACTAAATAAAATTTTAGTTGTTTAGAAATCCTCTGATAAACCCTAATTATAGCCATATGCATTACTTTAAATAAAGTAATACATATAGCTATATTTTAATTGCAAATAACTTGAACTATAGGTTTTAACTCGCCCATCTCAAGCTAATACTAATTTTCCATATCATGTTCGTACATCACAAATTGGCATAATGGAGAATAATAATCCAAGCGACAAAGAAAACTTCGATCAGCATATGTATGCACCTGCTATTGATCTTAACGAAAATCAGAAAATCACAGTATTGTTTTCTGTTATCAAGTCTGATGTGAGTGACTTTACATTTTTTATACCTTTTAGAATAATTATTATTAAAATAGCTTTTACATACCTTTTACATACATTTTACAGTACATTGACAGGTAATGTCAACTTGATAGGTAACACAGATTTTTTTTTTTTAAATTAATACATGACTTTTTTTTGCTGTAAATTTCAAGATTATTTTCTTTTTTTCTGTAGATATAATGTTTTCAAAATATTGACCTGTTTACGACATTTACTTAAATTAAATGAATAGATTTTTATTGTTATTAGATCATATGTCAGATTTTGTTTGTGTATATAAATATATATATAAATATATATATATATATATATATATATATATATATATATATATATATATATATATATATATATATATATATATATATATATATATATATATATATATATATATATATATATATATATATATATATATATATATATATGTATATATATATATAGTTAGTGGAAAGCGATTCTAGAGAAATAAAAAATCTAGTGAATAGCAATCAAACACATAATCAAATATTTGCTTACGATGAATATCCGCAATATCATCTTCATCAATTGCATCATCAAAATAATACCACTCTAAGATCTATTGAAGGTAGTGCATCTGCTAACCATTCACCAGCTTACTTAAGCACCAACCATTCAACAAATCTAGATTTAAATAATTCAGCTATTATAAAATTTGGTGGTTTAAATCATTCGCTTTCTTCTAATAGTAAAACAGACGATTTGTATCAAACAAATAATGCGAACACTTTACATCACCAAGATAAATACCAGACCTCTATATTTCAGGTAATAGGAAATTTATTAATTTGTTTGTTTGCATAAAGTATAAAATTTAAAATTTATACTATAATAAAACTTTAGATTTCTATTGTGAAACACTATCTAATAATAAATATATAATATTTTTTTTAAAGGCGTTAGGAGCACCTCAAATTAGCAATGATAGTTTTCATACAAAATCTGAAATTTTTAAAGAAAAAGTTAAAAAGAATTCCGTTGCATTAGAAACGCAAAATTCTGATCAAAATAAATTTATTGAAGAAAATGACAAGAAAGACTTAACATCTTCTAAATTTATTCAAGAAAATCAAGAGAAAGACTTGACATCTTCTAAATTTAATAAAGAAAATATAGATAAAAACTTATCATCTTCTAAATTTATTAAAGAAAATCAGGAAAAAGACTTAACCTCTTCTCAATTATTTTCACATGTTGAGTTAAATACGGTTTCTAAATCAGATGCAAATATTTTTTTGAAGGAGCCGGAAACCACTTCTTTAGCAAAAAGTATATTACCTAATAATCGATTGCCTCCTCTGACTTCTTTCCAAGCTAATAGTTCAATTGTGTAAATTTTTTATTTTTTTTTTTATTTTAAAATGTCTGAAAATTTTTTTCAAAAAAAAGAAAAATGTTTTCTACTAAATTTTAATTTGGAAATATTCTTTATTTCTATTACAAATACCTTTGTATATTCTTCTTTAAAATGTCTTTTACAAAACATGGCGGTTTTAATTATTACTATTGCGCGTTAATAGAATTTAAAAATACATCCTATATATATTTATAAAGTTTTAAGTGACAAATATCTTTCATATATATTTATATATTGAATTTATATATAACATTTTTATTAGATTTATAATGTCTAAAGTGTATTTATTGTTTATTAGAAACTATCTTTATAATACATAGATTATAAAATGGATGTTTTATTTATAAATTAAAATTTATATTATAAAACAATAAAAAAAAAAAAAAGAAACAGTTTGTTCTCAATAAAGTAGTTTAATTTCGTAAAACTCGATCATTATCCAATAAATTGCTATTAACAATAGAGTTATAACAGTTATAAATGACATAACGAATCTAATATAATTCATAACGAATTGTATATATATATATATATATATATATATATATATATATATATATATATATATATATATATATATATATATATATATATATATATATATATATATATATATATATATTACTTTTACTCCCCACTTAAAAATATATTTTGCGACCACGTTGTATTTTGTGAATCAATAGTACTGACAAAATACAACCTGATCATAAAAATATTTTTTGTAATCAGGTTGAAACAAACCATAATCTTTAAAATGTTTAAAAGCTAAAAAAAAAAACATAAAACTTCATTTTAGACCAAACTTATGTTATATATTATACTTTCTCTAAAAATATAAAAAATATATAAAACCTATATTATTATCTTTCTACCACCTAGTAAATGAAATTACTCGTAAAATACACTATATTAAAGTAACTTAGTAAAATTACGACAAAACAACGCGGCTTTCAAATTTGTTAGCCTTAAAATTTGTGCTAACAACTAAATAGTTTGTTTTCTACTCTTAATTGGTTTAGTTTTTTCGGAACATTCTCTTCCATCAAAGTTTTAAAAATCATTGTTTTTTTAAGTTCCATAACTGGAACAATTCTCTTAATACTGTTGTAACATCTGCTGACATTTCTTCTATTGGTTGTGTAATTTTAATTTTTTTTTTTTTTCTTCTATCATCACTGGAAGAAGTCTAAATCAAGAGTAGTACATGTAGCAATCACTTCATTTGTAAAAGATATGATCTTGAATTGTTAATAGTCCTTAAGGACAATCACTCTGTTTCATTATTTTATTAAAGTTTTATCTAAATGCTTATTTTGTTTGACGTTTAAATTTTTATAGGGTAAATAAATTTTTTTTTGCTTTGCACGAAAAATCATTCTGTCATTTATTACCTTAGCACGAAAAATCATTCTGTCATTTATTACCTCTTTTTTTAATTTTCTCTGCTGTATAATAAGCAAAAAAAAGTAAAGTTGAAACTACCATTCTTTTGTCGCAGACAGCCTTGGCAAACAAGCAAACCTCTCTCGTTAACCAAACTTAGAAAAAAACTTTGGTATCTAACCGCAACAGTAAGTTGCAAATCGTTACTAGAGTCAAATCTTTGACTAGAGTCAAAGAGTACAATCTCACTCGATAACTTGGTCAAAAAAGCTTCCTGCATTGTAATTAGAGAATTTGAACATAAAATAGCCAATGACAAAATTTTAAACGTTTCTACGCTTATATTAACAGCAAGCGCTCTGTCAACAATCAAATAACTTCTACGTGCTCACCCTCTGGTGAAATAAGCAGCAACCGAGCTCAACTAGAGGTGACCATATTAACTCATTTGTGCTTGAAGAATGTGCCAATGGGGCGGCTGCCCCACTTGCCTTTATTTTTCTGAAAATGTTAGATCAAGGAGTAGTCCCAAAGTCAGGGCTTCCGGCAAACGTAACGCCACTGTTCAAAAAAAGCTCAGGACTTGACCCACAAATTATAAGTCATTAATCCATCACCTCTGTACCATGCAAAATAATAGAAAAAATAGTAAAAGATAAAATCATGGAGCACCTTGTAGCCAACAAACTTATTACCGATTGTCAACACGGCTTCATCAATAAAAAATCCTGCATAACAAATTTGTTTGAGATCATGGGTTTTCTAACCTTTAGTGTATCTCATAAACTTCTTGTAGACTTTCTCTTTCTTGACTTTGCCAAAGCTTTTGACAAAGTCCCTCACAGAGGACTATTGCAAAAACGTCAACCCTACGAAACTTAAGGTAAAATTCTTGACTGGATTAAAACTCTTCTTTTAAATTGATCAGAACGCGTTCTTCTCGGTAAAGCGTCATCCAGCTGAGAATAAGTTACCAGAGGTGCTCCGCAAGGTTCAGTGCTAGGTCCTACGCTCTTCATAATCTTCATAAACGAATTACCCAAATACGTTGGTAATGAAAGCATCTGTAAAATATACGCAGACAATAATAAAATTCTGAGCGTTGTCAAAACAGCTGAAGACAAAGCTCGTCTGCAAGCTGGTATGAATAGCACCGTAACCTGAACTCAAACCTGTTTGAGCTTTTGAGTTTAACGTCATGAACTGCAAGGTTATGCACATTAACAAATGCAACGTTTCGCCACGTTCACTGCACGTTCACTCAGTGAACAAGCATAACGCTAACAGTAAAGTCAGCAGAACAGAACTCGAGTCAACTAGAGTTATTAGTCCTTGGCCTTGGCCTTGCCTTAAGGCCAAAAATTGAGACCTTGGCCTTGGTCTTAGCCTTGAAACTGTTGGCCTTGGCCTTGAAAATTTTGGCCTTGGCCTTGATTGTTTTGGCCTTGGGCTTGATTGTTTTGGTCTTGGCCTTTAAAAAAATACACATGTTCTTATTGATTTTGTTGAGTTCTGCATAACCTCGGTCTATTTTTACAAAATGTGGTTTTTTTGTTACAGCACTTGCTACTTACAGTTTTGTTAACAATTGGCCTTAACGTATAGCAAAAATTAAAGTCTCTGGTATTGAAAATGTTTACGTAAGCTTTGGCCTTGAAACTCTTGACATTAAAACTCGTGGTCTTGGCCTTGTCCTTTGCCTTGCAACTTTTGGTCTTACCCTTGGCCTTGTAATGTGTGGCCTTGGTCTTGGCCTTGGCCATGCTACCTTTTTAGCCTTGTTAACAACTCTGGAGTTAACAATATCTCTAAATGACCTAGGCGTTCAAGTTACCAACAACTTAAAGCATGTGAATCAAGCCAAAATTGCCAATAGAGTCATTGGAATTTTAAAACACACCTTCATCAGCAGAGATACCAAAATATTCAAAAAAAAGTTTTACACCACCTATATATGCCCACATCTAGAGTTCACAGTTACCGCCTGGTGCCGGTACTTTGGAAAAGATATAAATACCATAGAACGCATCCAACATTTGGCTACTAAAGTACCACATAAAATGAAGTGCTTTAACTACAAGACAAGATACATCAAGTTTAAACTCACATAACTACTCGATAGCTCCACTTAACACCCCACAAATCTACGGTCATCGCAAGCGCTTTTATTGTTAAATGGACAACAATTGCCTCGTTTGATTCAACTTTTTTAACAGCCGCGTCGCTCACCCTTGGAACGCACTACCAAATGAAGTTGTCAGTGCTATTAGCCTCAACTGCTTCAAAGTAAAATTCGATTAGCTATCGCCATAATTACTCTGCGCAACGATGCACGAGTTAGCCCGGCTAGCTGTTAATAGGCTTACGGAACACGCAGTTTCGTGTAATTTAACTGTGAATAAATATCTGATATATTACTGATTCAACAGTAATTAAAATAATTACTGATTCAGTAAATCAAAACAACATTCTATCTTTTAAAAAAGAAAAAGATAAATAATTTTTAATAAATATATTCAATTTGTATAAAAATAGTTTAATAGTATTTTACTTTTCACAATGTCCTTTTGTTTACTAAAATGATTTGGTTTGAATCAAAGTTTTATCTGATTGACTCCATTTTTGATTTAATTAAAGTTCCTGCTATGAGATAAAAACTATATTTTTATTTTAATCTTCAAACTTCCTTTCAACTTTAAACATCAAGAAATAAACTCATTCAAATCTAACATTAAGAATTAGAGAAAAAAATAATTATATTAGTAACGTTTATTGTTTTCTTTGCTATAAAAAATGTTTTTGCATTGTTCTATAATAATGATTAGTAAAAAAGGGAAGATTATAGAAGAAAAGAATTATAGAAGCCCACTCATAAATCTAATTTAAATGTTTTTAGGAATGCAAATAAAAACGTGTAAATAACCTTTTAAATGTAATGTTCCGAATGTTAGGCTTTAAATGTTAATGCTCTAAATTAGAGTCTTACATTCTGCAATTTTTAGAAAAAAATACAAATAATACAATGAGAATACATATGATATAGAATACATAGGGATCGTCCATAAAGTACGTACGCTCATAGGGGAGGGGGAGGTCTTCAAAAAGCGTACGAAAGCTATATTCGCATATATGAGGTAGCCATGTATAAAAGAGAAATATATAAGTTTTAAATTACTTTGCGACATCATAGGTTTTGCTTTTTAAAGTAGACCTATGTTTTTTGATATTTTAGTGTTTAAAGCATTTATGTGACTTTTCCAAGATAAATTTTCATCAATTATAACTCCTAAAAATTTAGTTTCGTGAGTTCTCTCAATTACTATATTTTCTATTTTTAGAGAGGCTAGAATACTTGGTAGTGTGTTTCTTAGTTGGTTTGAGTGAAATAAAGTGTATTTTGTTTTTTCTATGTTTAGGGATAACTTATTTGTTTTAAACCATATATTTAATTTTTGGAGTTCTATGTTTACATTATCATACAGATCCTTGATGTTTGTCGAAGAGTAAAATAAATTTGTATCGTCTGCAAACATTATAAATTCAAGTTTGCTAAAAACTTTTGGAAGGTCGTTTATATAGATTAGGAACAAAAGAGGAGAAAGAATCGAACCTTGAGGAACACCACAAGTTAATTTTAATAATTTACTGTGGTAATTATTATCTGTAATAACACACTGTTGTCTGTTATACAGGTAACTTTTAAACCACTGCAGTGTATGGTTTTTTAATCCGTATTTTTCCAACTTTTTTAGT